ACAGTTGTGTGTAAAGTGACGTACTCAGCCCAGCGGCAGGCGCGTAGGCAACATGTTATACCGTGACAGTGGGCTCAGCACAGCAAAATAAACGATTTGAGCCTGGGACATGCTGGCTACTGTCAAACGCTGCTGTTGGTATAGGCCTTGTCATTGGCCTGGACGTACTATATTCGCTATGAAACCTTTATAGCTCAGAAGCTTTCGCTCTACGGAACCATGCAATAACAGAAGCAATCACAACAAACAGCAGCAGCAACAACAGCAAACAATACCACACAGAAGACACAATATATTGTACCGAAACCTGTTCAGCATCTAGTATGAAGAGAACACTGGTAAGTATATGACCATTAAATTACCGATCCCACAGTTCTACTTGCTCCAAGAACTTGATCCACAAGCGCTTCGTTCGGCATTCACCAAATCAGTCGCTTTTCTGACCATAGCCGTTTCTGTATGCATGCACAGCGAAAACTGGCCCTTGTCTGTCACGACCGAACCACAACAACACACCGAACACCGAAAAATTTTAGGGTGTAGCTATCGGTTGCACCTTTGTTTACAAACAAATGATGATAAACTGTCAATGATTCGCGCTTATTGCTGCTTACACTACACCGGTGTAGTGTAGTAAAAACGAAAACGACATTAAACCAACGGCCGCCATCTTGGATTTCAAAATGATTTTCGACATCTACGTGTCATCCCGGTTCCAAAAGTATCCTCTGCTTCTTCTTTCCTTTGTTTAACGTCGGTCTTTGTTCCGCAATCTAGTGCCAATCACTGACGGACATCGATTGCCATCCTTTGACGGCAATTGAATGGGCAGGAAGGCAGCTTCCACACCTGCGTAGGATATCGCACCCATTCATCAACACACATGGGCCGGGACCAACGGATTTACTTCCCTTTCGAAGGAAGACCCAAAAGTGTCAATATTGTTGGGTATTTGACCTTCAAAACAACTTTTCCGAAGACAGCAAGTTCCTAGATTTCAAGATACATTACACAGTGATTGTTATCATATCAGTGGACTGTGGTTTTTGTTGCTGATACATATGATAATCCATGATCTTTGCCCAGGCCTGAACGTCTCACAGCAAAAAAATAATGTTGATATCACGTCAAAGTGGATGCACTACAATCATGTCGAAAATATGGTGTAATATTACTTGCTAAAAAGGACAAAATTATCATCAATACAATGCATGAACTGACATTACGCTGCTTTTACTGCATTTGTTTATTTATGTGGTCATAAAAATTACATGAAATTTTCGACATGATTGTAGTGCATCCACTTTGATGTGATATCAAAATTATTTTTTTGCTGTGCTCTTTAATAAAGACATAACGGATGTACACTGATCATGATTCCGTTTACTCGTGTTTTTATCGTCGTTAAGCATCGGAAGATAAGATTTTATTGATTCCCTGACCTCCACTGCCTTTTAATTAGCATAATGGAAAGCCAATTGTTCCGGTTTATGCATCAGATCAACCTCACAGGCAGTGCTGCAAAATCTCGACAGTACACGGTGATATTGACAATTCTGTTTTGGTTACTCATTTGAGCTAACAGTCATAGTCAAGGCAAACCATGTCAATTGTCAATGACAATGCTGTCAGTGACGAACATGTGTAGATTTTTATACTAACTAAATTTGTAACAAAACTAAATGACTTGAGCAAAACAATTACATGGAACCATTTTAGTGAACAGCCATCTACGTCCTGAACTACTGGGATAACAATAATGTGACACATAATGTACTAGATTACACGATTTGTTACCAGGTGAATCTTTGTCATTGACGAAAAAATGAATGAGATTTTGACGGAGGTTTTTTTGAGGATCAAGTCTGTCAGTGACTATGTGACGAATTTTTTTGTCAATATCGCGCGAAAGTCTGTCAATGAAAATGACAAATCTCAGCACTGCTCCCAGGTATTCTTTTTGTATGCAAATATGATTTTTTTGTTATTCACAAAGTATTTTGCATTCATTTTTTGATATTATTCTTTGGTATTTTACCTCTTATGTCAGGCTGATCAACACCAAATTTCGGTATCAGGTCAGAATGTATTCGTAAGTTATTTCCATCTGCTCGGGTCTCCACCACAGTGAGGCTGAGCTTGACAAAACCTCTGAAAGCGATTGGATTTTAATATCCTTTTCAATTCCCTATGTTTGAAGTAGTATTTGCTAAGTTTTGAAGCTAATCATTTTCTTCCAGATATAATCGCGTACGGTTTAGGTTAGATTTTGTTTATTTATAAACGCGTACGTGTGATGAGTATCTTCGTTTGCTGTGCGGCTGGGTTCAATTCCTGGTCCGGTCTAGGAATTTTTCGGGTTGAAACATTTCTCGACATCCCTGGGCAAAGAGTATGATTGTACTTGCCCCTCATTTGAACTAATTGAAAAATGGTATATTCTTAGACAGTTCTCAATTGAAAACCGTGTAAGTGCACAAAGAGCACTAAGATCAAGGTTGGCTTAAAGTCTTAGTAAGAAGGGAAGATCTCAAACGTAAATAATGTTTTTTTTTTTTTAATAATTTAACTAAAGTTTAATACCGTTTCAATTTCCATAAATCAATTTTTGAACCACCACAACACACTTTTTTCAACATTAATTGTGTTTACATCCAAAAACGTGTGTTTTAAAATGCACAAATCCTTTTTACCCTTCTTACAAAGAAGGGTATAGATATCACTTGAAAAACCGACTATCGATCCGAGGCCCGGAGGGCTGAGTGTCATATACCATTCGACTCAGCTCGACGAGATCGGAACATGTCTGTGTGTGTGTGTGTGTGTGTGTGTATGTGTGTATGTGTGTATGTGTGTGTGTGTGTATGTAACGAAATGAATGCGCTCACGTTTCTCAGCAACCGCTCAACCGATTTGGACAAACTCGGCGCCAAATAATAGGTCTTGGGGTCTCATTGAACGCTATTGAACGGTTTTGAAATCGGTGAACTGGTTCCGGAGATATGGCCGGAATAAGATCCGGTGAATATGGGCCTTCACGCTGGATTTAACGGAAAACGTATCAAAACCATCATGCGACACATCAAATTACTACAGATTTCAAAAATAAGATCAATGCAAGTCGTGTTAAGTGTTCCAGACCACATTGGACACACTTGGACATGTTCCGGGTACCCCGGGGAAGTTGCTTGAATATGAATTGAATTAAAACCCATTAAATCACATTAAAATACGATGATAAGGTGATTGGTAGCCTCACCAAATAGACTACACCCGGATATATTCCGGGTACCCCCAGGCAGTGGCGTAGCGTCACTGGATGACACGGGGGTGGGGGGCTTGGTCACTGATAATGACAATAAAATAAATAAACTTGAATAAGTAAGAAGGCAGGCCTGGGTTCAATCCCAGTCGGCGCCGCCGGGATGTTCTGAGGCATAACATCTCTGATCACGCCTTCCTTCGGATGGGAAGTAAAGCCGTTGGTCCCTGGTTCATGAGTTGATGGGTCGATAGGTAGGGTCCAGGTGTGGGAGCTGCCTTCCTGGCACGTCGGTAGCATTGGTGCTCAGCACGGAAAACAAGATCGACGGAAAAAACAAACCAAAGGAAAAAAAGAAGGGTCTGATCACCATAGGTGGATAAATTCAAGTTTTTTTTACGTGGGTGCTTTTTTCCAATTTTCTTTTTCTGTGATGAAAATAGAAAATATGTTATAAGTACAATAATTTTCATTATTTTTTTCTGGTTTTTTCCCTTGATTTGTTTTCCGTGATGAGCAGCTACACAGCAAAAAGTTCTGAATTATAATTGTGATGCAAACATTCATTCACATAAACTAGTATTTTATTTCACGCAAACGAGCAACTTGTAAGCAATGTTGTTTACAAATATGGGCTTTTGTAAACAATATTTGCAACATTTTAGGAAATGTCTCAGTACTTTACACGATTTATAATGTAAACTTAGATGAGATGTGATGCTCCTTTTATGTGCATCATATTGAACCAAAATTCACACTACTTTTTTGAACTGTGTATGCTACCGACGCCAGGGAGGCAGCTGCAACACCTGGACCCTACCTATCGACCCATCAACTCATGAATCGGGGACCAACGGCTTTACTTCCCTTCCGAAGGAAGGCGTGTGATCAGAGATGGTAATCACGCTTACCACAATACAACCACCGGCGCCGCTTTTCTGATTTTTAAACCAGTTGTTTGGTTTTATATTAACATCGAAATTAAGTAAATAAAATAAGACCGCGTAACAAAATGGTTGGCAGTATATCGTTCGAAATAAATCAGCACCATTTAACGTAATTTATAATTATTCTAACCACTACCTAGGATGGCCAAATAAGGAAAGTTTTTATTTCAAAATAGGATTGAACGCGTAAAAAATTCCCTTTGAATTTATTTTCACAACATAATTTGAGTGCTTAAGAAGTTTTGTTCAGCTTTTGTATGGAGTGGATCCGTAGTTCTTCACATCATAGAGTATATTTTGGATGGATCTCTGATTTTTTTTAGAAAAACCCCGTGCTGGGACTAAGGTTGTTCTCCACCCTACCATACAATATGAATTTCGTTAACAAACAGCAACGCTTAGAGCCCAGATATTGAAGGATGTCACCATTTTGGAAAGGAAGGCGGCAAATACAAGAATGTGAAAAAAAAAAAAGATAAATACGTATATTACAAAATGACATGCATGGAACAAACACGACGTTTTCAAATTCTTCCACGATTTGACGCTCTTTCACGAGTTTGGCATACTTTCAACATAGTGTTCATCAAAGCAGTTAAAAATCAAATTCTATGCCAACTTCTAATTTAAAAGAATAATCCATTCAAGCTTTGAATTTGTCTTTCGTGGAAACTTCTATAGGGTTGTTCAGATGGTGATAATAGTCATAAATTGGTTTAAGAAGTTTGTTATAATTCAAATTCAACATAGTTCATCTTGAATAATGCTTTTCTGTAGCAAATTTTGTTTTAATCCTATATAAATAAACACATCTTAATGAAAAACTTCGTCAGCCGTTTATCATTCAGGGCAAGAAGTAATGCACTGGATCTCGCTCTTTCCAGCACTTGTTCAACCAGAATGCCTTTTCACAGAGATTATCACCTTGAGGATAGAGGCATCTCTTGAACCAGTTAAGCGTGATAAGATGCATGGACTCCGGTAAAAAGTCTTGAATTTTTACATAGTGGAACTCTCCCTTATCATCTACAACACCTGCCTTATGGAAAAGACAGTTCATGTAGCATTTCAAGTTATCATCTTCGTGTATTTCTTGATCACTGAAACGCTTGATAGCATCTGCAAATAAGTGACAAGATCAGAGATTATTTATATTGTGAGCAAAGTGACATGGTCTTACCTTCGGATGCACCGGTTTCTGTGACACAAGCATCATGCATAGGTTTCAGCTTCTCCAAAAAACCCGGAGGAGGATACTGTATGGAAAACAGAAAAGATATGGAATGTGTTCTATTTTCTCTCATGCCTTACTTGAATGCAATCTCTGAGCTTGTATTAATCAACGTACATCAGCATCCCGCCTCGGTTCCTGGCAGTTGATAACTCCTACCAAAAGCAGCAGAAGCAAAGTCGTAAACATCTCTTCTAGTCCTTGGAGACTTTCCTTTCCGTGACTTTTCTATATTAGATTTTGTTATTTTACTTTACGATTTTTTTTTTGTATCTTGTTAGCTCCTACAATAAAAGCAGGAACGTTTGCCCTTTTTCAAGGGTGGTGAGAATCCAAGAATTGCCGATTTGCCGTCAGGTGATAGGGTGAGCTAGGAGATAATTAGAAAAAATCCTTCCACTTGCACTTGGAACACAATAGAAGCGAACAGGAAAAATTCTACCATCCTGAAACAACAACAGAAACAGTTTTCCTCTTAGAAACAAAAGCACAAGCATGTATAAAACATCGGCGAATTTGCGGCAAAATGTGGGAAGAAAAATTAAAAACGACTAACTAACCAACAAACGCTCGTCTCAGTTCTCACCGGTAGAACGTGTGCAACGATGCAGCTGCAGCTGCTGAAAACAAAAACTGTAGATGCTCTCATTAATTTTGTTCAGTTATATATACACATACACCCACAAACACCACAATTGAGTGCCCGCCTGAAATCTACTAGTCCAGCAGAAGAGCCATAGAATAGCTACCGGCAGAAGGCGGCTAAAGGAAACACGACATCCGACTTTCGTTATTCTTTTAATTTAGTTTCAGTTGATTTTACTATTCGCATGACTAACAAGAAAGTTGTGCAGTCAATGCGATTTGTTTGTATTATTGATTTACAGGCATATTTAAAGGTTAATTAATAATTTGAATTTATTTTACGTAAGTGGTGTTTATTTTCTTATTATTATTAATTCAGTTTAGCTGCAAAAATTGTCAATAATTAATCAAATAGTATAAAATTATATAGCTAATCAATAATCTTCAAAAGCACTAAAATCACCTCTAACTTTTCATCAAATTTAAAAAAGCTTGCCTAAAAACTAATATTACCTTTGTTATCCTTTTTCTCTGCGACCGACAGCCAATAGCCAGCCACACAAACTATTTCATCTATATAAAACATTCCCAATCGATAGATCTTTATTCGTTCTACCTCTACATTTTGATTACAACATCGTAGAATCAAATTGAATATGAGAAATCGGCTTAGCAAGGCGAAGTTTGGTTATATCTGTATGTGCGTCTATTGACGCATACCACCTAGAAAAGCTTTGTCCGAGATGGCTTATCCGATCATTTTGGTTATTATCTTATATGATTTTTAACTTGATAAGATAACAAATAAACATTAGGATACAGGTCGATGTTGTTCATTCGACATCTTGTCAGTTGCGGCATTGTTTACTCAATTTTGGATAGCCCTACTTTTGACGGATATAAGTAGATCCTACTTAAATTTTGAATATTAGGAAATAGCGTGCACGCGGTGTTTTTGCCCATGTGAGACAAACAAACAAAAAAATAAGGACCTAATTTATATTCAAAGACGAACGAGATTGTCCTGGATAACGAAGGTTCTATACACCTGCTCGGGTATTGGATTTTTCATGAGAAAACGGAGTCTTTATTGATTTTACTGTGGCCAATCCAATCACTGATATAATGACAACATTTAATCAGCCTCTTTATAGACTTATATAATTATGCATATTATGCATCTACATGTATAGTTTGTTTGAATACTTATGTCAGTTGGGTCAAAAATGGAATGGATTCCTGAAATTCATGATATCTATAAACTCCTTCAGGTAAGCTGTGCTCGACCACATTAACCCGAAACCTGTTCGATACCAACCCGATATTTTACAAATTTTGTGAACCTGTTACATATTTCCACGAAATTGCTAAACTAATGATTGCTTAAGGTCTTTTCTAATGGTGTTCAGACAGGAAAATTTTACTATTTAAATACTATGCGTCTATCAAATCTTCACAAAAGGGAACCTCATTTTTGATGTACCATAAAGGCGAAATTTACCATCTTGCAAATAAAAACGGGTTCTACTTCTACCTTGCTTTGACGCTCAAACTAGGTTTTGCCTGCCCAGCAACTTAGTGTTCTTGAAGCGCTTTCACAGTTATTAATTGAGAGCTTTCTGTTAAACAACCATTGCATGAAATTGTATATTGTGTGGCAGCCTACTGAAACACAATACACAAATATACCCAGGTAAGTTAAGAAAAATCTTCCCGAATGATTTTCCCAAACGGACCGGAAATCGTACCCACCGCCTCATACTTGGTAATAACGTGCTTTGTAGACTAGGCAATCTGAGCCTCCATAAATAATGGTGCATATATTATTTATATTTATGCATAGAAAATTTCTATGTCTAGTCGAAGACGGTGATAAATAAATAAAACATATGGTGTTAAGAGTCTCATCCAACAAAAAAATAGTGAAAAGTATTGATTGAAGCAAACAAGCAGAAAATATCTCCATTAAACACCTTAATCAGCTAATATTTAAGTTGACAGAGAATAGAATTTATAAATCTTAAGATAAAAATTAATTAATTTATCTTTATTAGGGAGGCTTTCAGCCTGGGGCTGGTTCGCCTCCAATTAAGATAAAAAGCAAAATTGACGAAAACTTTATGTGGATACATCTTGCCCTGGTGTGCATCTAAAGACGATAGCTTGTATTGCGGTTTTCATCCATTTCGTCAGAATAGTGCAGTAGTGGTTAAATTCAAATCACAAGCCCCATTTTCAACAATTAAATAAACCTGCTATTTTAAAAAGTTGAGTATTGGTTTGACTTTGCCGCACTCAAATGCACTTTAACGTTGATTATACGCTATCTTTAATCGAGAAGCACAATAATTGCGACATTGTATACGGTAGAAAAGCTTAAACTCATCGCTTGATAAAGTGGAAACTCTGAAATCATGGGAAATAATTTACACCAAAAGTTATCAATTAATCTCCTACAAGCAAACTTCAATTAAAAAAATCTGCACCCCTTCATTATCTATTACTATCACAGTTTCTCCGAGTGAGGATAAGTAATAATACGGTGAACGTAGTATACAGGTTTACAAGTCGAAGGCGAAAAGGTAACAAATTTAAAGGTTGTCGTTTGGCTACATGCTGGCTAGTTTTGCAATATTTTCCCAACACTTTTAAAAAACTTTATTAAATGACCAGGCATGAAAATATAAATAAAATAAATTTAAATTGAAAACAGATTTAAGATGATTGGCATGATTTAGTTTATTAAAATATTAATTTATGCAATGATAATAATGGCGGTGAGTTCAATTATCAATCGGGTTGCTTCCAGATTTGTTTAAAATGTACAGTTAAATTGTTTAATTGTTTATTGTTTATTATAATTATAATTCATCAGACATTAAATTGCTTTATTCACTAAATTCATGTAGACAATGCATAAAAATATAATATGTAGCTTTGGAAGTTAGAAAGCAATCATAAGCAAAAGCGTCATTAAGCGAATTAGCCACGGCGTGGATAGGCTCGTTTATCCCATGCTATCGTTAACGTGTTGATGGTTGATGATTGGAAAATATCCAGAATGCAATTCAAATTATGTGGCGCAGCCAGGATTTCATTTTTATCTCTCTTTCAGAGTAAACTGAAGTGCTAAAATTGCTATACAACTGAAGATCCTCACACTGAATATCAGCGTTATGTTGCAAAACAGTCATTGCGGGCTTGTTTGTTAAGAAGTACAAATATTGATAATTGTTATAGTACTGATTCTATTCGTTCTTGGTGCGTATTTTTATTGCTCTATGGAATAGGTTCTCATCAACGATTTCTCAAAACGCCTTGAAATGTAAGAAATAATGGCAATTCTACACTTATAACGTACTACAAAAGGCGGTGGTTTTTGAGTTGCCGATAATAGAACAGCTGGTTAATACGCAGTTCAAATGGAAAGGCTACCGATAATATTCACACTCACCTGAGAAGTTTGGTGCGTTGCAAAAAAGTTTTCAGCAGAACCAGAACGGTCGTCTTCTGTTCGACCATTCACAGCATGGGCTGTACTCCGTTTGGTTTTCCGATGAACCAACCCTCATCTCACCGGCGGGCAACCCATCGACGCTAAACCTGTTCCTGACAAATATCGGCTTGTCCAAGCCGGTAGCCTTGAACGAGCTCAGCTCCGACCACCAACCGGTGGTGTCTGAACTGGGCTGCAACGTGACTCCTGCTTCAAGCCTGCGCAAGGACTAACATCGCGTAAACTGGGCCCAGTTTGGACGCGTGGTAGACAGGCACATCATCGACAACCCACCGCTTGACACCGTGGAGGACTCCACCAAGCCATAGCCGTGGCTGACGAGGCGTGCGTCCGACGAGTTCCTGTGAGGGGTAAGTTTATTGCCATTGATTCCCACACCCAACTTTTGATTCGCCGTAGACGCCAGTTTCAGAGGACTGGAGATCTAGGCAAAAAACGTGAAATGGCCGATCTGAACAGACAGATTGCTTCCAGAATGGACTCACTCCGAAATCAAAGTTTCGGGCGTGATGTCCAGACCATTTGGAAGGTAGCCAAGGTCCAGAAAACTCATCCCAAACCCATTCCACCTCTCAGAGTCGAAAATGATGACGATCGGCTTTTAATTACCCCACAGGAGAAAGCAAATTCGATCGGCGAGCATGTCGCTTCATCGCATTTGCTTGGCTCTAATATCCAAAGTCCGCTCGAAGATCAGGTTGCGCAATGCGTTCAAAACCTAGATGCCTCCCCTTGTGTCATGCCTCCGGCGGATATGATTACAGTACAACAGATTTGCTCAGCGCTGAAATGCACCAAGAACATGAAGGCCCCCGGGTTTGACGGTATATTCAACTTGATCTTGAAGAGACTCAGCATGAAAGTGCAGTATCTTCTAACCGCTATCTTCAACAGATGTTTGGAACTGCACTACTTTCCAAGCATCTGGAAAGTAGCAAAAATCATACCAATCCGCAAACCCGGTAAGGATCCGACATTGCCTTCAAGCTACAGACCCATCAGCCTCCTTTCAGCGCTGAGCAAATTGTTCGAGAAACTCATTGTCAATCGTTTGCTCAAGTTTGTCGAGGAAAATAACATTCTCCTTCCG